CTGGGATCGAGCCCCGCATCGGGCTCCCTGCTCCGCGGGAAGCCTGCTTCTCCCTCTCCCACTCCCCCGCTTGTGTTCCCTCTCTCGCTGTGTCTCTCTTTGTCAAATAAATAAATAAAATCTTTAAAAAAATCATCATACCTTAAAATGAGTGCAATTTATTGAATGGAAGGAATATAAAGCTGTTAAAAAAAAAAACAGTCAAAAATAAAAATCTTGTATTTAACAGGAGGTCAGGACAGAAGGTGACTAGCTTAAGCTCACTCAGCACGTGGAGGGGCTCCCTCTGGGGCCCACACCACCATGGCGGACACAGTCTCACTCACGTCCAGCCCCAGGCTCTACCTCCAGCCCCTTGAGGGGTAGATGGCTTCTCTGTAGCTGTGGGCTCGGTCAGCACTGGACAAACCAAGGCTTTGGCCACAGGATGGATGGTTGACAGAGGCAAAGTGGCTGGGCGCTTTACCCCATCAGTCCCAGAAACAATGACAATGACAGTTACTGGGACCACCCCAGAGGCCACTCTAGGCTGCTGTACTCACCACCAGGGACCTTTGACAAAAATATAAGCCTGCTGAAAGGATTAGACCAGGCAATCTCCTCCTCTGAAAGATTAACCCAACAAACACCTACTGCGCACCTACCATGCACCAGGGTCTGTCCTCGTCCACTGTCTCGTGGGGACCTGACAGGATGGAATGACATTAACTAAGGGCACGACGCACAATAAACACCCTCCCAACAGTACCTATTACACAGCCAGCAAATATTCGCTCGGTGCCTGTTCTGTGCTTAGCCTGATGCTGGAGGACAGGAAAGACACGTGGATAAAGAGCTTTGTCCCAACCCTGAACCTGGTGGGATCAATGCTGTGAGGGCCAGAAGAAATAAATTACTTCCAGTTGTGGAGAGGTTTCATGGAAGATGTGGTATGTAAGAGAGGGAAAGGAATTTCTACATGGAGACAGGGTGGTGGGGGGGAGGCAGGCGGAGAACATTCCAGTTACAGGGGGGCAGCACGACCCACAGCCTGATACCTAGGGGACCCGGGAGCGGTTTGGCTGCGGCGAGGGCTGGCTGAGGCGCTGGAGGAGGCCCTGAGTCGTACGTGGACACATCGGCTCCCCACTCCCACCCCCACAGAAGCCCGCACCCTGCCGGCTGATCTCACTCTGTGGGCGGCCAACTGCGCGGCTGATAGGCGGGGCAGCTTCCCGGCCCTTCTGGAGCCTCAAAGAACAGAACCAAGGGCCTCAGCTGGAAACTCGGATGGGGGCGGGGGGTGGGGAAGAACTCCTCCCAGGCCCACTCGTCCCAAGCGGCACCGGCGCCTCAATCCTGGGGCGTTCTCAATGGGCCAGCCAGCCTGAACCAGATCTCCTGGGAGGCTCCAAAAAATGGAAAAACCCTCAGGTTCATCCTCCCAGAATCCACAGTACCAGTCTTAAACTTCTCCTGACCGTCCAACCCAAAGGACACTGCCATCTGGTGGCCAAGAAAGCCAGCTACCATGAGGGTTGGGAGCGTCCCTGTGCTGAGGGCCACAAAGGCAGAAATGGTTGAGAGTTCATAATCTCGTAAGGGGACCAAAATTATGCTAGCACACAGCTTTGAGTTGAAACAAAGTCTTATTTCTGGCTACAAAGCTCCCTGAGGTGCAGGCATTATCCACGTGCAGAGGAGGAAACTGCTTCTGGGGACATGAGGGGACGGATCTAAGGTCACAGCTGGGTCAGCTTCAGAGCTGGGTCGCATCTGAGCCCAGCAGCGCTGGTCCCCCATCAGTGCCCCATAAGTGGCTAAAGCGATTCTCAACGTGGGGTACCCAAAACCCTTTCAGAAGGTAAAGGGGGGAAAAATGATTGTCATGAGATGCCTTTTCCTTTCACTTACAATCATACAGTGAAATTTTCCAGAATCTAAAGATGTGCAATGGCTTCATCTAGTCCCAGTGGCTAATGGGATATGGGCTCGTGTATTCTTGCATTTCAAAAATGTGATTTCTAGTAAGGCATAACCTACATAAGCAAAAGCTCTTTGAGATACACAATAATAATCTTTAAGAGTGTAAGAGGTTCCTAAGACAATAAAAGTTTGAGAATTTCTGGTTTAAAGAAATATATAGTTTTTAATAAAATAAAGCCACACACAGTAAAACATACCCTTTGTTTTGACATAATTGAATGAACTCTGTGAGACACTATTTTTAGGCTGACTGGAATCCTAACTGCCATTTCTATAGACCTATGATTAATGGAATACACACAAATGAGTGAATAAAGAATGTTTACTGTCTAACTGGTAAGCACCACTTGAAGTGATTTACACATGTCACCTCATTTAATAGCAGATGCTATTACTACATTTTAAGCCTGTGCACACTGAGAAATTAACTGGCCCAGCTGGGAGGTACTGGAGCATGGACTCTATCCCAGGCAGTCTGTCTACAAGCCTCTACCCACTTTTCTAACTGCTGTAAGATTTAACATCCCTTCAGTGCAATGCACTTGATGATAGAAGTCTTTCAAAATATTGAAAACAAACGGGATCACCCATCTGGCCCAACATCTTCACTCTGTAGATGGGAAAAGTGAGGTGCAGAGAGGGGAAATGACTTGCCGAAGATCACAGAGCAAAGAATCACAATCTGTCAGGCCTGGTGCTCCCAGTGGGGAGCCCTTAGAACTCCAACCCCAGTAAGCACTGTAATTACTCCTTCAGAGCATGTGCAAGTAATATCCAGACACTGCAAGAGACAACACCTTCAACAAGAGCGGCTCAACTTTATTGCAGGGAAGCTAGGGAGGAGCAGGGCAAGTGAGGGTCACTGCCATCGCTGAGCAGGACTGCCAGGCCCCTGGTCTGTCTGGAAGGCAGGAGATCAGTGCCCTGGAAGAGACGAGAAGTTAGGTGGAAGGAAAGCACCATCTGCTGTGCACATGAAGGCATTGCAAAAGCAGCAGAGGTTCACTAAGGGGCAGTTGTGGGAGGGAAGTGGGAAACCCAGGTGCTGGAGCAGAACGAGCACCGCAGCATTCAGCCCTGCACTCTCCTCCCACCCAGTCTGTAATAGTCGGGTTGGCTGGAACCCATTAATCTCGCCAAAGCCAATCTCCACCAACGCCTTCTCCTGGGGAACCTCCGGGGCTGCTGGGATGGTAGGTTCTCCCTGTCCTATTTCAATTCACACTGGGAAGAGAATGAACAAAATCACCAGCAAACAAATCTGCTGATGAACAGACAGTCGAGGTGACTTTATGACCCAGAAACACTCTCTCTCTCTGAGTCCCAAACCTGGCTTCAAATCCATCACTGGGGAGTGTCTTAAAACAGACGGAGACAGATGCTGCAGGGATGTGGCGGGGGGAAGCTCGCTTGACGGGTGAGAATCACCAAGTGCTGTCCATCTGAGTCTGCAGGAGCCTTTCCATACTACACATTGCTTGCTAACATGCTTGCCCAGATAAAATTAGCTGTTATCTAGAATTTGCTTCAAAATAATGGGCATAGATGAAATAGAACAATGATGGCAATGACTTATCAGTGGATCTGGGTAATGGGTACACAGGGATTCATTTTACTACTTATATGTTTAAAACTTCCATAATAAAAAAGCAAAGATAAATTAATTAATTAAAAACTATGAGAATTACTCAGCCGCAGAAAGGAATAAAGTGCTGATCCGTGGTACAGCTTGGATGAATCCTGAAAACGTTATGCTAAGTGAAACTGTATGGTTCCTTTTCAATGAACCATCCAGAAGAGGCAAATTGAGAGGCCGAATGCAGATTAGCAGCTCCCAGGGGCTGGGAGAGGGGGCAGTGGAGAGTGACCGCTTAATGGGTTCGGGGAGTTTTTCTGGGGTGATGAAAGCTTTGAAACCAGAGCTGCACAACATCGTGAATGCAGGAAATCCACTAAATGGTACACTTTAATTGTATGTTATGTGAACTTCACCTCAATAAATTTAAAAACTACTATGAGAAGAACACACATCAAGTTACCCATGGTTTACAACTGGCAGGAGTTGAACAAGATTCATATGCTGGGGCCAGGAGTCTCCAAAGGGAGAGGCCTATGTTGGGGCTCCCCCATGTGGTTCGCCTACTCAGGAAATTCTGGCTCTTCCCTCCTTCTATCCTGTCTTGTCAGAGCACTTTTATCAACCACAATCTTATAAACTGACACAGAGGCCCCTTACGAAACAGGGCAACCAGGGACAGATGGAGGGGCCCAGAGTGCCACCCACCATTCTCCTCCAAAACCCCTCGGGGTTCAGGAACCATGTGACCAACACTGATCCGCAGCATGGTGGAAACGTATCTTCTCTTTGAGGATCATCCTTCATTTTCAGAGGGATTTCCCAGTAACCATCCCCCATGGCAGGAAAACAGGATAGAGGTTGTGGCCCCATTTTAGAGATGAAAGGCCTGAGTCTCCAGAATGTAAGAAGTATTCAAAGTCACAATGTGAAATGAGGACATCATTATTCATCCTGGGCTCATTCCTGACCATGGGCTGTGTCCATGGACAAAAAGGGGATGAGGAAAACAGATGCATCTGACATGATGTCATGTGATGTCACCCCCTACACAGGACACAGCCACAGCCCACCAGTCAGCTGTGGCTGGCCTCTGCCTGGGGAGCTCTCGTGGGCCCACACACAGGGACAAGGCCACCGGCCACGAAAGAACTCTGATTCAGGACGCCTCTCATCCTGCCTCTGCCACTCGCCTGTGTGGGGCTTGGGTCAAGTCCCCTCCCCTCTCCAGGCCTCATGTTTCTCAATGGCACTGAGCCCTGATCCACGGCAGGGATGTGGCAGTCACTGTAATTCAAGCACGACAAGGGCAGTGACAGCCAGGGAGGGAAGGATTCTGTGCCGTGAAGGATTCTGGAGCAGGGTACAGAGGGAAGGAGCGCTGGATCAGTCAGTGAGGTCTGTCCTGGTTCCACAGCGAATGGTTCGGCACAGTGCCACACTCACGTGCCTCTCCGGATTGTGGACATTTAAAGGGGACAGCCAGCCTGGACATGAGGATTGCTTTTGTACCAGTCGGGGCAGAGGGCATGCTCAGGAAGCTGACACCAGTTCCGGGTGGGGAGAGAGGCCAAGTTGAATTAACTTACCTGGTCAGGGCACAGGAGCATGATGCCCAGGGCATAGGGTCCTCTTGGATGGGACAGTTTATCAAAGCATTGCTCAAGCTCTATGCTCTATACTTAACCCCTGCTGATCACGAGATGCACTCCCCAAGTCATAAAAGGGACCCCAGGAGACATAACACAGTGCTCTGTGTACTCTCAGGGGGCTGTAAGGATTCCCGGAACGTGGGATTTGCATTAGATAATGACATATTTTGTACAAGGGCTGGGGCTTTACCCACCTGCTCCCTTTGGTCCATCTTGGGCCCAGGGGTCCGGGCCCTCGCTACTTGGGGCCGAGGTAGGAAACAGCCTTTCCTGTTTTCTCCAGGGTCTCCAGCAGAATGTCCACGCTGTGCTCAGAGTTGATGCAAACTTTCTTGTTGGGCAGGTCAATGTCAAACTCAACTCCTGCAGGAAAAGGAAGTGAGGTGTGTAGGGGGGAAGCAGAGACCCTCCCAATCAGAGCCAGAGAGTTCAGGCTCTAGAATTCTTATTCACAACCACCTTCCCCTTTCCTCCATGCCAGGGATCAGCAAACTCTTCCTATAAAGGGCCAGAGTCATGTTTTAGGCATCAGGGGCCACATGGACTCAGCTGCATCATCTTCTCTCTCTGTGTATTGCTTTTACGCCCCTTTAAAAATGAAAAACCATTCTCAGCTGTACAAAAACAGATTGTGGGCTAGATTTGGCCCACAGACGATAGTTTGCTAATCCCTGCTTGAGGCTCGGGCTTCTTTTAAATTTTTTCTTCTTTTTAATTTCAAAAGTAATTAACACAGACACACCACTGAAAAAAAAAAAAAAAAGCAAACATTTCTGAATAAAACTAGAAAGTGGAAGGCCTCCAGAAGTCACTACAAACAGCATGGCATCTACCCAGTCTTTCTCCCAGACAGACAAGTGAAAAGTAATTCCCCCAAACGGCATTGTACTCTATAAACAGGTCTTGCTATATTTCACTTTCCAGTGTCCAGGGGATCTTGCCATCTCAGTATATACAGACTTACATCACCCTCTTTTTTTTTTTTTTTTAAAGATTTTATTTATTTATTTGAGAGAGAGACAGACAGAGATAATGAGAAGAGAGCATGAGCAGGGAGGAGAGAGAGAAGCAGGCTCCCGCTGAGCAGGGAGCCCGATGTGGGACTCGATCCCAGGACCCTGGGATCATGACCTGAGCCGAAGGCAGACGCCTAACCGACTGAGCCACCCAGGCACCCCCATCATCCTCTTTTTAACAGCTACACTGCATTCCGCAGTGTGGACGCCCCGTATATCCACTCAGTGCCCTGCTGCAACGCTACAGTGAACATACCTGAACATATAAAACTTGTGAAAATATTTCTATACCATGAATTTACAGAATGGAAACGGGGGCGCAACGGACTGGCACATTTTAAATGTTGATATTGTAAAACCACCCTCCTAAAGGGCTGTGTCAATTTCAAGCCACCCTCCCTTCCCCGAAGAGCAGTCCATGGGAATACCTAGAATGTGTCTTGTTGAGAAAATGGAATGCAGAGGGAAAGCCCTTGATAGGTTCTAGGCCTGGCTTCACCACTGACTTGTTGGATGACTACAGGTGGGTCCTGCCCCTTCTAGGCCTGTTTCCCCATCTGCACATGAAGGAATTCGGGGTGGCCAGCCCCTATGGTCTCTCCAGTTCCCATATGCCATTAGCTGTGATTCCTCAGGCCCAGCACTGCTCATCTAAGGCTCCAACTAATCCTTCTGACCTCAAGAGGCCACCCAAGTGGCGATAGTAGTCAAAGATGGGGAGAAACCCATCCAAATTCAAAGGGAGATCCCCAAACATCAAACAGCCTTAAAAGCCCAGGGCACAGGATTTAGTCATAATGTCTGCAATTTGTACCGAACGGATACTGAGGGAGAAAAAAATGTAACGTGTCCTTGCTGCACACTGGATTTTTGTGTTTTGGTTCAGAAGTATCTCCCTTCTCTTTGGAACAAATATTTTGGTGGCATCACAGCGCTGGAAGAACTCTGGGATCATCCAACCCAGTGGGTTTCAAAGGTGTTCCTTGCAGCCCAGATTCCTGGTCGGGTGTCTTCAAGCCGTCAAGAGTGAAAGCAGGCCCGCCCTCACCCCTCACTTCATCTGGAACGTGCCACATCATCCTGGAGGGGCTTTCGAGCAGAGTTTCACTCTTACAGGATCCACAGCAGAAGCTGACAGAGGCTGACACGCCGACACACAGCTAGGGTGGCCCCAGTCACATGGCAAGTCAGCAGCCAGGTTTTTCCTCCTGCTTCAGATTCTTTCAAATTAGGATTCCAGTTTCCAGGACTAGAAACCAGCCATTGACTCACTTTGGGCAAGTGCCTTCCCCTCCCGGGCTCTGGTGTCAACATCCCCATTCCACAGACGGAAAGGCCAGCAGCTCAGAGGAATGCTCCAAGTGCTAATGGGATCACATCCACATGGAAGCCCTTTGAAATCTGGGTATTATTTGGGTTTTAAAAGTGAAAAATCTTAGAAGACGGACTGCCCAGCACTACCAGAACTCTGAGCACAGCTCAGTCATTACCTCATGGAGCCCCAGGGCCAGACCCCAGCCCTCTTTGGGCCTCAGTTTCCCCAGCTGAGAACCAAGGGGGCTGGGTGAGAATAACGGTTTTCTAAATATGTCCAGAAGAGGCGCTTTAGGACTTCTGCATGTGACTTGAGTCAAAGTCCATTTTTAAAAAATATTACGATTTTCTAAATGTTAATAGAAAATGACACTCCAATGTATCATCTGCAAAATGATCACACCGAAGATCACCAACATGTTAACTAGTGCTGCCAGGACCGTGAGCTGGACTATGTAGCCAAATCCCAGCTCTGCCACTTTTACTCTGAGATCTCAGGGAAGTCGCTCAACTTCTCTGAACTTCAGTTCCTCCTGCTTATAATGGAGACAGTCTAAGGAGCCACCTAAATGGCTCTGGTGAGGAACAGATGATGCGGTCCACAGGAAGCCGCCAAGCAGAGTACTGGGCGCATGCTAAGTAAGTACTCAATACATTTTAGTCGTCCTGTTATTATCGGCTTCAACTCAAGCCTCTCTGGCTCCGTGGCTGCATGCATTTGCACGCAATTTAAGGGCACCGGCCTCCCCCACCTCACCCCTACCCGCGGGCCACTCACTCACCTCCCAGCTTGTTGAGCACCCGGCTGACGGCATTTGAGCAGCCTTCACAGGTCATGTCCACGGAGAACTCGTGCTTCTAAAACAAAGGGGACCGTGAGCCAGTCCTGAGGCACGACCCACACCCCCCACCAGCATGCAGGCCCACCCAGGGGCCAAGACAGAGCGCAGAGAGACAGGGCCAGGCTGGCTGTCATCAGACTTACCAGCAGCCTGTTTCTGAGTCCCACTCTATTAGAGTGTAAAGTGGAATTAAGAAAGGGTTCCTCCATCTCACAGGCTGTTGTATTGAATGGGATAATCCCTACAAATCCTTCAGCAGTGTCTAGCACACGATGAGTAGAATCACCTGGGAAGCTAGTTTAAAGTCTTACCTTCAAAATCTTGGTTCTTGAGACCACCGACAGCTCTGACATAGGTGGGCCCATGGCCTCTGAGCAATGCTGATCTGGTGGTCTTATTTATACAGCAGAAGATCATCATCTGCATTAGAATCACCCAAGAACTTGCGAAAATTATTCTGATCAACGAGCGTGGGCTGGGGCGTCTATCGTGGCTAATAAGCGTCTCTGGTATTCTGATACACGGAGATCACTGTGCTCACCCACGTGCCTCACGGTCCAAGGCAGCACCTGAGTCCCAGGAAGGGATTTGCCTGGGCTCCCAGTGGGTCGGAGGCTGGGCCAGTAAGGGGACCCAGACTCCTCGACTCTTCATATGGGCTCAACATCCTATAGTCTCCAAGGGCCTGGAGGCAAGCTTTGTTCAGTTCACTGCTGCGACCCGATCCTTGAACAGTGCCTGGCACACTGTAGGTGCTTACTACATTTTGTTGAGTGAGCAGATGATTGACACAGCTGGTTGAGGACCTCTGGGTCCTTCCTTTGCTTTCAGACAAAATTTACTATACCAATACATCTTCTATTTTAAAATCTCTGGAAATAAACCCAGCCTCAGTCCCCAGCTCTGGCACTTACAAGCTGTACCACCACGAGTAAGTTATTTAACTCTTCTTGCCCTGGTTTCTACATCTGAAAAATGGGTATGAGAGTCCCTTCTCCAGGTTAGTGAATGTGACAATCATTTTAAGTGTGGGAGCCAGCCTGCAAGATGGCCCCAGTGACCTCCACCTCCTGAGTATTTATGCCCTTGAGAAGTCCCCTTCCACAATGTCTCAGGGTTGGTGTGTGTCTGGCAGAATATGGCTGAAGTGATGTTATGTGACTTCTGAGGCCAGGTCATGATAGACACCGGGGCTTCTTCCTTGCTCTCTCTCTGGAGGAAGCTGGCTGAGACGTCTTAAAGACCCTCAAGCAACCCTATGGAGAGGTGCTCACGGTGAGCAACTGAGTGTCCAGCCAACAGCTATGTGAGGGAGCCATTGTGGAAGCAAGACACTCCTTCAGAGGACTACAGCCCGGCAGACATCTTCATGCATCTTCATCAGAGACCCCGTGCCTGGGACACCCCGCAGAGCTACCCCCAGATTCCCGACTCTCAGAAACTAAGAATTAATAAACGTTTACCCTTTTCAACCACCGAGATTTGGGGTCATTCCTCAGGAGCAGAAGGTAACTAAAACATTAAGAGGTTGGAACCTACTAGTAGTCTCCAGGGGTGAAAAATTAGTTGTTGCATTATTATTAGTTTGTTCCACAGCTCTCTTTTCCTTCACTTCAAAAAACAATGGCTACATGTTTCATGGAGCATTCCAAAGTATTTTTTTTTTTTAAGATTTTATTTATTTGAGAGAGAGAGAGAGAGAGAGTTCGTGAGCTGAGTGGGCGCAGGGGCAGAGGGAGAAGGAGAAGCAGACTCCCCGCTGAGCAGGGGCAGGCAGATGCTTAACTGACTGAGCCACCCAGGCACCCAAGCATTCCAAAATATTTCAAATTTGTTACCTCAGTTGGAATTCTGGACATATCAATGTTTCTCGCTGGAAGACCTCAGGCAAAAATCCCTGTGCCTTTAAAAAAAAAAAAAAAAAATCCCTGTGCCTTAAGGGCCCCAGTCACCTTATCTTACCAAAAAGGTATTAGCCAACTCAAGTTTCCTCAAGCTCAGTGCACAGAAGAATCACTTGGGGACTTGAGGACATGCAACTCTGCAAGCAATTACCTCTATCAGCTCTGAGGCTCTGGGCTGGGCCCTGGGACTCTCTCCATTTTTAACCCATTGGGGAGACACAGGGAGGCAAGGCCACACACCTAGAAAAATTGGACTAATGGCTTCTCAAGCTCTTTCCAAGTCTCAGAACATGTTTGGGTTTGGCTTCAATCATCATGCCGTCCAGGGGAAACTAAGACCAAGAGTTAAGAGTTTGGTTTTCCGCTATTTTACTGAGGCCAAATCTGCAAAACCTGCCTTAAAGAAAATGGTTAGTTTTTCTTTTCTTCTAGTTAAACACCTCTGATTCCTTTAGCTTGTATGACTACTTAACAACAACCATAACAAACTCTGGAAAACAGGATTTGTAGCAAGTATTCCAAAATCTTGTCTTTAAGGTGTGGTCCTCAGACCAATAGTATCAGCGTGACCTGGGAGCTTGCAAAATGCAAAATCTTAGGTCCCACCCCAGGCCTCCTGAATCAGAATCCTCGTTTTAACAAGAAACCCTGGAGGGCTCAGTCCGAGAAGCGTGCAACTCTTTATCTTGGGGTCGTGAGTTCGAGCCCCAGGTTGGGTGGAGAGATTGCTTAAAAATAAAAACTGAAAAAACAACTCCAAGACACCCAGTTTATTCCTGCCCACATTACAGTTTGAGATGCTGTGCTAGAATGTGAACGGGCAAACTACAGCCGGACTCTGAGTTGGTTTTATGAAGTTTTACTGGAACACTGCTAAGCCTGTTGGCTTACTTTCACACTGGAATGGCAGAGTTGAGTAGTTGTAAAGGCAGCAGATGGTTCGTGAAGCCTAAAGCATTTCAAGCATTCACCTGGCCCTTTAAGAAAAAGTGTGCCGACTCCTGCTCTAGAATAACCAACAGACAATCCAGATTTGTCAATGGTTTGCACCTGGATACCCACCCAAAGTCTTAAAGGGCCTGCAAGACCGATATAAGACCTAAGTCTACTGAGGGCCCCTGTGCGCCAAATGCTCGGTACACAGAATCTCAGTTCTCACTGGGCTTGGGAAGGGAGCTAGAGACCCTATTTTACCCCAGCGGAAACTGACGCTCCCAGGGGTTCACGGAGCTGCCCACGGTCACGGGGCGAGTCTGTGCCGCGGCTGGGATGCGAACCCAGGCCTTCCTGGCTCCAGGGACGTTTTGCTAGTGAGGAGCTGCCAACAATGCTGCCAGGTGCCATCCTGTGACCCTGACTCTCAGCAGGAGCTCTGGGAGTGGGACAGCTCATGAAGAGGAACAAGTGCATGGTGCCCAAGAACCTCAAGTCAACAGAAGTGAAGCTTTCTGCTGCTACCTACAGAGCACGGGTCCCCTTTCATCCTCCACAGTACAGAGGTCAGAAGCCAGGAGGCGGCTTCTGGGTGGCCAACGTTACAAGTCGGTGCTCTTTCCCTCTACTCGGATTTGCACAAGTCCATTCGGGGGTGGTAGAAAATCTACTTGAAGGACAGGGCGCCTGGGTGGCTCAGTTGGTTAAGCGACTGCCTTCGGCTCAGGTCATGATCCTGGAGTCCCGGGATCGAGTCCCGCATCGGGCTCGCTGCTCAGCGGGGAGCCTGCTTCTCTCTCTGACCCTCCCCCCTCTCATGTGCTCTCTCTCTCTCATTCTGTCTGTCTCAAATAAATAAAATCTTTAAAAATAAATAAATAAATAAATAAAAAAAGAAAATCTACTTAAAGGACAGAGTAATCCATTCTCTACAGAGAATCCCAAGGCCAGTTCCCTATTGCTTCAGCCCCTCAGACAGGCCTGTCACCTCTAAGGTCCTTTACAGCAATGAAAAAGTCCAGTAAACTGTAAAATTCTTTAACAGAATCTCAGAACTGGAAGGGCAGAAATGCAGTGGAGTCACCTTGTCCAGCCCCCTCCCAGAGAAGGAAGTCTTTCTCAAATATCCAGGATATTTAGTCTTTGAACACAACGTCGATTAGTTTACGAATACTAATATTTGAATAGGACTACATGCCAGGCATTGTTCTAACTTTGCACGCATTACCCTGTTTAAACATCACAAGGTCCCCATGAGATGGCCATTATTATCCTTTCCTGACAGACAAGGGAGCTGAGATTCAGAGGTTAGGTCACTCACTCAGGGTGACACAGCTAGTGAGGAACAGAGCCCAGACTGAAAATGTCTTCAAAGCCTAAACTCCTAACCACTGTGGTCCTTCTTAAAATGGGGTTAACACTTGCCTGCCTCTAGTTCTACCCCACTTGTCCTAGGTTGACACAAGAGCTACCATTTCTTGGGGACTGGCTATGCTACGTATTTTACTGGCGTTTTTCCAGGTAATACTAACAATAGTCCCCTGAGGTCAGATTTTATCCCCATTTTACAGATGAGGAAATAAAGGCAGAGGTAAAGCGGCTTGCCCAAGGTCACACAGTTGACAAGCAAGGGCACAGATTTTTTCAAAGAGGCTTCTGAGATTCCAAGTTTTTGTCTGAGAAACCTCTCAGGTGACATGCTGACCAGTTTTGACCACAGCCCCTTGACTAATACCCTCCTCTCTTCAGCTTCTCATCTTGTGATGTGGTGCCAAGTGCCCTCTTCATTCTGACCATCTGCTCTGGAGGGTCTTTTGTCTGTCAAAATCTCCAGAAGTGAACAGAGTATAGAGTGATCCTCAAACTGGTCTTCCCTTCACTGCCACCCTCTACAAAAACCTAGTGACCTTGACTATCCTAGTCCCAGGGTGATTAATGCTGTCCTCTTAACATTGCCACAGGCAGATTTGCTCAAGTAGGAGGGCTGATAACGTCAGGTTCTTTGTCCATACTTTGTGCTGAGGATTTGTCTCAAGGCACCTGGCAAGACCCAATGGAAATGACACCTGAGATGTTTGTGACTTGGCCCAGGGGGCCTCTGGCTTACCTGCCAGCTCCCCAAAGCTAGGCTGCTAAGACACAGGGCATCTGTGGGACACCTCTGGGTATCCACTTGAAGCAGAGCCATAAACCAGGCACCCTGGGGGAAACTGCTAACCACCACATGACCCCAACCAGGCTCTATAGGACGTGCTTGGCATCACAGCTTACTCTCAATCCGGTATAACTACTTTCGTCTGGCATTTATTTCCCAAGTGGTCAGGCCAGGAGAGACTGGGAGCCTGAAGATAAGGGGCTCAATCCTGGCTCCACCCAACGCCTAAAGGAGACCTCCAGTAAGTTACTGGGCTTTTTCTCTTTTTATCTGCCAAAGTCCTTAATTTCTTATCTACAAAATGAGACCCTGAGCAACCACGTATGTGCATTAAGACTGAGTGAGTGGCAAAGGCCCCTAAGACCTGCTCATTCCTCCCCAAACCCTGTCTTTGAGCAACTGGCATTTTTTTTTTTTTTAAGATTTTATTTATTTGACAGAGAGAGCACAAGCAGAGGGAGAGAGAGGGAGAAGCAGGCTCCCTGCTGAGCAAGGAGCCCGATGTGGGACTCGATCCCAGGACCCTGGGATCATGACCCAGGCCGAAGGCAGCCGCTTAACCAACTGAGCCACCCAGGCGTCCCTCAACTGGCAATTTTTTGAGCAGGTCCCTTAACCTCTCATGGGCTCATGGGTTCAGGTTGAGAAAGTGATCGGTAGGAAAGGTTAAAAGCACTGTTGTCTCCAGTCAGTGTCGCCCAGGGCTGAACTGAAAATGGGCGAGTGGGCAGGTGGTAGGAAAGAAGACCGCGGATCTCTGAAAACCTGCCCCGCCCAGGAGGCAATAGCCGCCCCACCCCCTCCCCCACTCCCCCTTTCAAGCCAGCTCCGCAGACAGGGGCAAACAGGGGGAAGGCACAGGGACTAGACGTCCCAGTTCCAGCTCGCCACCCGCTTCCTGGGTGATCTCGGCGACTCTGCCCCCGCCCTGGGTCTCAGTTTCCCCGTCTATGCAGGGAAGGGTTGGGCTTGTAACACCTGGAGGCCTTGCAGCTCCGATGTTCTGAGGCCTGACTCCTACATAAAACCCCTTTCGGATCGGATTTTCTGGAGGGTCGCAGAAGCTGGAAGTAGATGGGGAGGGAAGGAGTAAGAAGAGAGGCAAAAGCTCCGGCGGCGGCCTGAGCCCTTGCAGTGACGTGTGGCCGATCGGCGGTGCAGCCGAGGCACAAGCCGGGGACCCGGGTCTGCCCGGGGCGGGAGCGAGCAGGCACTCACCGGCATGACTGTGGACGTGGTGGCGGCGGCGGCGGCGGCGGCTGCGGGAGCGACGCTTCTGCCGGCTCGGAGAGCTCGCGCGGCTGTGCTTCCGGGGCTGGGTGCCGGGCAGAGCCGCCCCTCCCGCCAGGCCTCGCCCCCACCCGGCCCGCCGGCAGTTAGGCCCTGCCCCTGGCCCGGCGGGCGGAGAGCCGCCTGACCGCCGTTGGCCGCCCCGCCTCCTTCCGGTGGGCGGGGCCGGAGACCCCCGCTCGCCTGCAGCCGGCTGGGCCAGCCTCCAACGCCTACTGGTCATTTTTCGGCCACCTGCTTCGTGTCAGGCCTGTATTAGGGGCTGGGAATGCAAGGTCCCCGCAGTGAAGACGACAGACTCCGCCCCTCCCTAAAGGGACAATCACATTTACTGGTGTAAGTGAGTCCCAGCCGTGAGCCAGCACAGTGCTAGGTATCCAAGACGCACTAGCGAAAAGGACACGGCCCAGTCGGGAG